TGTTGTTGCTGCTGTTGTTGCTGCTGTTGTTGCTGCTGTTGTTGCTGCTGTTGTTGCTGCTGTTGTTGCTGCTGTTGTTGCTGCTGTTGTTGTTGTGGTTGTTTAGCAATCCGTTATCTCAGAATATTGGACCAATTAAGGTCAGACTTAGAAAATACCTCCTGCTCAAACAGCCAATCGCTTGAGTTATAAATTAGCAGTGTTTAAGCCTTTGAGATATAGACAACTGGTCGCTAGATAGAGGGTCCTCTATATCAAGACATGTCTAATTGCTTGAGGTCGTTATTGTCTGTCGTTCTTCTCTTAGGGTATGGCGATAACAGATGTTCGTAGAGAAGTCACATTTTGTCATAAAACCAAGATTCCCGTGTTAGGAATCATTGAAAATATGAGCGGATTTGCTTGTCCTCATTGTAGTGTAAGTATGCAGTAAGTCTGGTTCTCACTAGCAGCCCTAGCAAACGCAACTCCATGTTCTCTCTATGAAACGAAGCGACGCAAGCACAACAGAACGAAATTTTTTTTCTCGCGTTAAGTAGCGTAGCGCTTGTTTTAAGAGGAGTTTTTGCCCTCCCCCTCCCCCTGCCTACGCCTCTTTATCTCCCATAACTATATTTTGCAGTTTTGGGGCTTAACTAGTCCATTCACGGACTCCCGGCCTATCAGAGCGGATCGAAAGGGAGTTTGGGAATGGACTAGTGCTTAACCAGAGGAAACACACATTTTATGCTAAAGACTCATTAGAAGATGTTATAAATGCATCTTATGATATTTTAGCAAGTATAAGAAAAACTTCCTGAGTGTTTCTCGCAGCAACAAAGGGGTTTTTAAAGCTAAATAAGTTTTATTTTGTTCTTTGGCAGGAATGTACTAATGTATTTTCAAAAGGAGGTGGAGAAGGACTGGCTAAAGAGTGTAAAGTCCCCTTTTTAGGTAAGAAAGTTTTCAATCATATTTTATGTTTTTTGGCTTAAGAGTGGGTTTCTCTGTAACGTAATCCAGGGTTCGTGCTACTCCTTAAACTCCTTGAATTTTTGCTTCGATCATTACTTGCATAGTTCTGAAATAGATCTAGTCAGAAAGATTGAAAAATCTGAAAGTCGGCCATATGCAAACACCGCGTAAAACCTTGGCATATTTAGCTGAACATACTCCTTGAAAATTCATTTTTGGGTCCTTGTATACTACTTGAATAGTCCTTGAATTTGAAGTGGTTACCTCAGCACGAACCCTGGTAATCGTTGTCGCGACGAAGTAAGTTTTTGGTGACGTCAATCAAGGCGTTTCCATGACATTTCATAGGCAAGTGCCCTTGAGAAATTTGGTTTCCGATAATGTCAACGAAACACTTTGATTGACGTCCGCCAAAACCCTATTTTGTGGAGGCAGCAAATTGTTATTTTGTCCTTTCATAGGTATACGATGGCGGTCATAATTCCTTTCGAATAGTAAAAAATCTATAGCAGGGGTGAATAGCACAAACTATTTACTGATAACCCACCCCTTCGAAGCACCATACACTGAAAACATGTGTAAAAGATTTCACTCAGTTTACTCGAAAATTTCAAATTTAATTACCGTCAATTTGAGACGCCATATTTACACCATTTTCACGCCTTTTATGGGTTTCCTGTGGTAATGGCGCGATGTACCCTATAACCGTCAACCCCTTTTAAAAAGTCTTTTTTTTTTTGAGACGCTTTTTATTTTCCCTCGCTATTTTCACTGATTCCAGCTCCATTTTCAATTTTTTTTCTTCCAGGCTGTATTCCACTTGACCCGAACCTCACCCAGAATATCGAAGCGGGAAAAAGTTTTACAAATTTAATGGGAAGTTCCCCAACAGTCGAAGCTTTGAATTCTATTATAACTGTAATGTTTGACAAAATAAATGTACGAAATTGAATTAGAATATTTTAACTATTCTTGCGCTTCGTGTATTTTATTTTAAAAAAAGAAAAAGGTTGATAAAGATTTTACCACTCTTTTCACTGCTACGCGCTGATGAAGACACTCAGTCGCGACAGGGAAATTGGGCAATACACTTCCGTCAATCAAATAAGTTGGTGGGTACCTTTATATTCTCTAATTGGTGGTAGTGCCGATTGCCCTGTTTCCCTATTTCTCAGCACAAGAAAATATATCGGAATGAACTACTTGGCGGCCATCTTGCCAGGGGGCAAAATAAAACGAAGATGATGGAAAATGGAGTTTATTTTATGGGTAAAGATGATGGATGTTCTCTCTGAATTCATCTTTTATTGTATTCTCTACTTTCACATCCCCATAATGCCTTGCGTCTTTGGGGTTCTGTATATGTACAATACTGATTATCGGTTTATTCCAAGTTATTTTTGCGTGTACAGATCATCAAGAGTTTTGGTCTTACAGAAAATATATTGACTTACGAAAAAATGTTTAAAATTTACCTTAAACATCTTAAAGCTTCTGTCTTTTTCTGTTTTTTACTTCTTCATTTTATTTTTGGATGCCAAACAAGGTAATGTCAACATTGTCTGATCAGCCTTCAGCAAAATAAGTGGGTTTTTACCCTCTGGTTACCACCCAAAGACGGAAAGTATTATGTGGATGTGAAAGTAGAGAATTATCTTGTGAAGAGCTGCTAATATCGATCGACATTATTACTGTAGCAAAGCTTTATTTATGCCTCGTAATGCCTTGTGATCCAAGATGGCCGCCGTATCGTCGAAGTAGTTCATTAAAACGCGTACAACATCTAACAAAACTTTCACCATTTTTTTTTTTTTTTTTTTTTTTTTTTTTGTTGAAATAGCTGTTTATTTTGTAGCCCAATAACGAAGCGAAGAGGTAGAATTCAGGCGCCATCCAAATCAGTGCTCGTAAAACATTTCCCAGGAGTTTTCACTAATGATATTTCAATTGATTCAAAACTTACAGCCAAATTTTTGTAGCATTTCTCTTAGTATTTAGTTCTTGATGCCACTAAATAGAATCCTATACGAATTTTTTTCTTATTCCAGTGTTTTAAGGTGGCTGCCTACTTTTGAACGTTCGATTTGAGCCCACGATGTGCGCGCGCTCAAAAACCGCTGAAAAATCTACAAGATTTTATTGAAGAACCATACGCGTTTTGAGCTTCAACAGGGCAAAACCCTCAAATTTTGCACGGGACTCTATATTTTTTGATAGCTCATTCGAAAAACTCCTACAAATCAAGGTTATATCAACATTTTAGGAAAAGTTTAAATCAGGAACACGTGAAAAAATAGATTTTTGTAGGGATTTTTGTTCGACTTTATGAGATTTATTAAGAGCACCGAAACTACAAAATATGACAAATCAATGTATCTCTCTGTCTTTTTGTCGAAAATATCCATGTATTATTGTAGAAGGATTGACTAGCCTTCATTCGTGCAATCATATAGACTGCAAATAACTATTATCTTATTCATCTTAATTTTTTTTCTAATCACTTCCGGTGGCGCAATTTTTACTCCAAAAGCTCGTGCGTAGGCTCCCATTAAATGCTGATTATCTCGAAAASGAGCTCGGGACACCCTATTTTTCTTTMCAGATTTGGAATCAGCATTAAATTTCAATTCGGAAAATCGAAGTTTTAAGAAAAGCTTAAATCAATTTCCAAAAGTAGGCAGTCACCTTAACTAAAAACCTAAAAATTACCAGCTAATTTTCGATGAACCAATATTAAATCCAACTTTTCATTTCCGTGCGACAAATATTTGTAAATAATATTTTCTGTACTAAAATTACTAAGTGTGTCTTTATTTTACTTCATAATTTAAATACAAACATTACAACGTGAACAATTAAAAGTTTATTTGAATTGGACCTGTAGTTTTTGGTGGTCGGGTTTCCCCGCAGCTTTGACGTCCTGTTCTGGATCTGTAATCCCAAAAGACTGATACAATCTATTTTGTCGTGTCCCTTGTAGTTTCTTCAAGTCTCTGCCGTACTGTATTTCTCTTAGTAAGGCTTTGTGTTGAGCTTCGAGCTCCTCGCGGTGTTCATGTAATGCTCGCGTTCTTCGTATGAGCTGCAGAAGCTGTTGTCGTAAGATTTTGTTTTCGTTTTTAACGTTATTTGTGTGTTCTTCTAAGCAATGCCTTGCTTCCTGCATCAAAATAATTAAATAAAATCGTTTTTATTTCTATTTTTATTAGGCACTTTACTATACATTCAGTTTGCTATCAGTTCACCTTTTGGTCTCCCCGGTTAGCAAGGCACGTATGCCAAGCTAGAAGCTTTGAGACTGTAATAAAGTTTATTACAGTATTATTATTATTATTTTAATTTCCTTCCTTCCTTCTTTCATTCATTCAGCCCTTCCTCCGATCGTCCTTCCTTCCTGCAGTCTTCCTCTCCCTCTCTCCCTCGATTTTTTTCCATTCGTTCCTCCGTACTTCCTTCCTTCCTTCAGTCTTCGTTCCTTTCTTCCCTCCCTCCCTCGTTCGTTCCTCCGTTTTTCCTTTATTCCTCCAGTCCTCCTTCCCTTCTTTTTAAGTTAATTCCTTCCTCCATTATCCCCTCCTTTTTCCATTCTTTCTTCCTTCCTTCTTTTCTTCAGTCACTCATCCATTACTCCAATCTTCCTTCCTTCCATCCTTTCATTTATTCGTTCATTCTTTCATTCATTCGTTCATTCATTCCTTCATTCTTCCATCTCTCCCTCCTCCCGCCAATTACTACCAACATGGACACTGTTATTTACTATAGCAATGTATAACAGCAAGTATACTACGACATGGACTGTAACTCAAACATATTACTAGCATATTCTTTACTAGCAGCAGTAAGGGGGACTCGCGAA